GCTTTAGCATAAAGAAGTAATACATATATGCCTATTCATGGCTAGGCTAGCAGAAACTATCTTTGAAACAGATCTGGCTTAAGATATGAGTAACTACCTCCTATCCTAGGTGAAATCAGTTTTCTCTATCCTCCCTGCAAAGCAAACCGGATTTGCAAAGTAGGGGAATGGGGGGAAAAAACCCCAAAGATCACATAGTGATCTTGTCTGCACACAAAGTCAGGTACAGGATAAAACAAGGAAGCATTAAGCAAGAGAACAGAACAAAGTGGCCTTTTAACTAATACTATTTAAAAAACTGGCTACAAAAGAAAGGTGGTAGTTGGAAGAGACCAGCCAGATCTCCTTTTATGACCAGGTGACCTGTCTAGGGGAAAAGGGAAAGGCTGTGGATGTAGTCTACCTGGACTACAGTAAAGCCTTTGGTACTGTCTCCCACAGCATTCTCTTGGAGAAGCTGGCAGCCCATGGCTTGGACAGGGGCACTCTCTGCACTCAGTTAAAAACTGGCTGGATGGCCAGGCACAGAGAGTAGGGGTGAATGGTGCTGCATCCAATTGGTGGCACCCCACTGTAGGGGTCAGTATTGGGGTCAGTCCTGTTTAATATCTTTATCGATAATCTGGATGTGGGGATTGAGTGAACCTTCAGTCAGATGACACTGAGTTGGGTGGGAGTGTTGAACTCCTGGAGATTAGGAAGGCTCTGCAGAGGGATCTGGACAGGCTGGATCAATGGCCTGAGGCCAATTGTATGAGGTTCAATAAGGTAAAGTGCTGGGTCCTGCACTTGGGTCAAAACAATCCCATGCAATGCTACAGGCTTGGGGAAGAGTTGAATGGTTGGAAAGCTGCCTAGTGGAAAAGAACCTGGGGGTGCTGTTTGACAGCTGGCTGAATGAGCCAGCAGTATGCCCAGGTGGCCAAGACCACCAATGGCATCCTGACTTGTATCAAAAATAGTGTGGCCAGCAGGACCAGGGCAGTGATTGTCCCCCTGTACTTGGCACTGGTGAGGCAACCTTGACTCCTGTGTCCAGTTCTGGGCCCCTCACTTCAAGAAAGTCATTGAGGTGCTGGAGTGTGTTCGGAGAAGGGCAACGAAGCTGGTAAAGGGTCTAGAGTGTAAGTCATGTGAGGTAACTGGGGTTGTTTGGCCTGGAGAAAAGGAGGCTCAGCGGAGACCTTATCGCTCTCTACAACTACCTGAAAGGAGGTTATAGACAAATCCTGTGTCCAGTTCTGGGCCCCTCACTTCAAGAAAGTCATTGAGGTGCTGGAGTGTGTTCGGAGAAGGGCAACGAAGCTGGTAAAGGGTCTAGAGTGTAAGTCATGTGAGGTAACTGGGGTTGTTTGGCCTGGAGAAAAGGAGGCTCAGCGGAGACCTTATCGCTCTCTACAACTACCTGAAAGGAGGTTATAGACAAATGAGGACTCTTCTCCCCCAGGTAACAAGTGATAGGACAAGAGGAAATGGCCTCAAGTTGCACTAGGGGAGGTTTAGACTGAATATTAGGAAATATTTCTTCACTGAAAGGGTGGTTAAGCATTGGAATGGGCTACCCAGGGAGGTGGTGGAGTCATCATCCTCGAAAATGTTCAAGAAGCAGCTGGACATGCTTAGTGCAGTAGGACCTAAACACAATAGCCTGATAAGCCAACAGGAAGAAAAGCTCATCCTGTGCTGTAAGTGGTACTCATTCATTACAAACAGTAGCACCCAACAGTACACTTACTTGCCTTAAACTATGCAGGCTTTATTAGAAAAGAATAAACAAAGGTACCTGAATTCCTTTAAGTGTTTTTATATTCAAATAAATACTCATGTCTGAGGACTGGACAGGATGAAATCAATAGGGTGAAGAGACATACTAAATAACATGAAATACAATTCAGCTACAGTTAAGTTCATCCAACAATTATCAATATTTTTTTTATTTCTGGTACGGATTTAGTCACTGGCCAACAAATAAACAGCTTAAACTTTTAGGCTTTTCAACTATGCATATCTCCCTATGCAGACAACAGCTTTGCTGTTGTTAAAACCAGAATATCACCTTGCACCTATGATGGAGCTAGCCTGTACCGCAAGACAAGACCTCCTTAGTTCTATGAACTGTTACCGTTAATGAAGAATCTTGCAAAGAGGAAGCTTCTTTGCAAAGGTCCCATGAGGAACTTTAGCACCAAAATGCTAAGACAGACAATACCTATCTTTCAGGGCATCTGGCTATAATGGTGGACTAGATTATGGATCCAAGAGAGCTCTGGCATGACCTAAGCTTCAAGATGTTTCTAAGCATGTATAAAGTACAACTACAGCTACCCTGCAAAGTTTAGGATCAAGGACATTCAGAGTTCTGATACCTCCAGGGTAGACACAAGCTCAGTGTGGGTTTGAGGGTTGCAATTTTTGACCTGGGCATCTCAATTACAATCAGTTCACAGCCTACCTCACCATTCCAAGAGATGTCCAAATTCAAAACAAGACTTAATCACAAAATGCTTCCTCTCTGCCTTTCCTCCCCTCTTGAATATATATCTCACAAATTTCAGAGTACTTGATACAAAAAAATAATCAAACCAGAAAGTTATTAGCTTCCACAACATGTTAGATTTTACTCACCAGGATGATTTGATATAGGAGGCTGGAATGCAAGTTCATTGTGAACTGGCCCTTTAAAAGAAAACATGCCATTTGTTTTACATGAGGAAAAAATAATGTTTTCTTTCTTAACTTGCTTTCCTGTGAAAAAAAAAGACTTGTGAGGATGCCAGATGTTATAAATCCCTGTAATTTCTGAATCAATTGGTCAAATCTGACAGGGGAGAAAAATGCCCACAGAAGAATTGCACTCTTAGGGGTTTCCTAAAAATTCAGAAGTTGAGTAAAGAGCTCCATTTGTATCCAAGGAGGAAAGGCTGCATGCTGCTCAGATCAGACCCAGCTCCAGGAGAGAACAGAAACCAGATATAGCATTGAAATATAAGAGAAATAGGACTTAGGCTTCACATCTGCCCCCAAGTTGTGCAAGGAGAGAAGCAGTGTATAGAGGCATATGTTACAAGTCTGTCAGAAACCACACTTCATTAGTTTCATTAATCACAGAACAAGTTGCCCAGCATGCTGTGGACTTGACCACAAGAAACACTCACTGAAGATGGAAAGAAGCCCTAGAACACTCATTTTCAGGAAAAAAAATAAATAAAATGAATAGTCTTGGTATTAGTCAGTTTAGTCTCTCAACTTTTATGAACTAACTAGGTCCCTTACAAGCAGCAGAAAACAAGGAGGAAAGACTTAAACATAGTAAATGTGCTGGTTTGAGCTGAAGT